TAGACTACTTGGGAAGGGTTTAATATGTCATAGTCTTATATCCGGCCTCATCTTCGATTTGTTCGAATTGTTCGACTTTCAAATGTTGGGACCATAGATTCATAAGAATGAAACCATGACATGCCGTTAGAAATTTGATTGGAAATTCATCGATTTGAAGTCCATATCTTCTAAAATGCCATCTTCAATTTTTACGATGTACAAACAATAGCAGTTGGGTGCACAATTTACATAAAATCGGAAGCAAATATATATGGGAGCTATATCTAAATCTGAACCGATTTTCACAAAACCTAGCACACATCATTCTAGACTTAATTCAGAACGCTATGCCAAATTGCGTGCAAATCGAAAGAAATGTAGGTGCTTTGGTGCTCCATTAACATAAAATCGGACGAAAATATATATGGGACCTATATCTAAATCTGAACCGATTTTCTCGAAACTTAACACACATCATTCTAAACTTAATTCAGTACGCTATGCCAAATTCCGTGCAAATCGAAAGAAATGTGAGGGCTTTGATGCCTTATTAACATAAAATCAGACAGAAATGTATATGGGGGCTATATGTAAATCTGAAACGATTTTCACGAAGCTTAACACACATCATTCTGGACTTAATTCAGTACGCTATACAAAATTTCGTGCAAATCGGAAGAAATGTGGGGACTTTGTTGCTCCATTAACATAAAATCGGACGAAAATATATATTGGAGCTATAGCTAAATCTGAACAGATTTTTCCCAATTTCAATAGGGATCGTCCTTGGGCCAAGTAAATGAGTTGTGCCAAATTTCATCCAATTTTTCAAAATTCCGAAAATCGGTCGACATAATTTTATTGTAGACTTCAATTTACACATTAATATCATTAATAACAATAAATGTTTCCCTTATTTCAGAATCTGACTTAATCCCCGGCTTGGCAACTTTTGTTGCTTGTTTGGTATTGCCCTTGCAATTGGGCATTCTTGTTGGTATTGGCATTAATATTGTATTCATTTTATACCATGCTGCTCGACCCAAGTTGCATGTGCAAACTTTATGCGTAAGTATTTCAAAAAAAAGAAACTAATTCGAACTCCTATTAATTATTTCCCACAACTCTTTGCAGACCTCCAACGACATTAAATACCTAATGTTAACACCCGATCGCTGCTTGATATTCCCCTCAGTGGAATTTGTACGCAACGTTATTACCAAACAAGGACGTAAATCTACCCTACCCGTGGTCATCGATTGCACACACATTTACGGAGCTGATTTTACAGCAGCTAAGGTAGTCTCATCAATGATTGATGATTTTGAAAATCGTCAGCAAAAGTTGTACTTCTTTAATTTACAACAACGTGTTGCCCAAGTATTCGAAGGAATTAATAATAATCTACAAGTTATTTACGATTTGAATACATTGGAAATGAAATTGTCCGGAAAAGAGGAACAAAACACATCGAAACTGTGAAATTCGAAACCAAATAGTTATAGTTATAAGGCAAGTTAAGTTAATGTTAGTATTTAAATTTGAAAAACACACCTTTAAAATATTTATTCGAACGATTACAATAGTTATAGAAATCCTGTATCATTCAAATGAGTTAATTTCCATACACCAGAAAACTAATTAAAGTAGAATCTAATAATCTCTCACAGATACTCTTGGTGATTTAAGGATTACTAATCCATATTTGGCATTGGATAAAAAATGCTTGAGATATAATCTCCTAATATTTGAAATTTGTTAACAAGTGCCAACAATTATTGTATTTATAGCAACAATTATTATTTTTATTTTGTTGTTAATACTACAAAAGTATTTTAGTATTTATTTTTTATTAAGTATTACTCTTCCTAATACGTTGTAAACAATCTGTTGTATACACACGAACACATACACACTTGTATTTAACACATTCCTTAAGTACTTAAATATGTATTTTAATATAATAATTAGTACATACTTACATAGTTTTGTATGTGATACTAAAATAATTATCTGCAATAAGTAATTTTTGTTTGTAGAGTCAAATTATTTACTTTTTTTTGTTTTGATTTTTTGACAATAATTACTCTTGTATTGTATCATTTTTGTATTATTGTAGTAAAATGAGTATTATTTTCTATATTTGTTGTATAGTTTTATATACATTCCCGAAAATTGATATTTTTTGTATTTAAGTTTAAGTAGAAATAAAAGTAGCAATCATGAATTTTTTGGTGTTTTGTTTTTATGGTAGTTTATTTGTAGATGTCGAATGTAGGTATTGTGGTAGTAAACTTATAAAAGATACATGTAGCTGTTCAGTTGACAATATGAATTATTTTCAATCAGTAAGAAGGAGAAATCTCCACCACATTGAAATTTATAAGTGTTTTATCGAAAAGTATACAGAAATGTAAATTTCTGCGGAAAAAATGCATTATCGTTGTCAAGGCAATGATCATCATTAAACGATATGGATATACAAATATCTAAGTGTTTCCAATAAGAATAGTTTTTGTATCCAATTGTAATATTTATTAAATTTGATTTATTAAAACAATACACCTATTTTGTTGAAAAATGTGTTTGTTGTCAAACAAGCGATGTAATAATATCTAATTGCATCTAATCATGATAATAGAAATGGAAATAATGTATTCAATTGTAGAAAGTGAGTAAAAAATCAGTAATAAAAGTAGTTGACCGTTGGCCGGAGTTGTCGGAGCCTCATAACTATTTATGTAACATTAATGGACTATTTGCAGAGCAATTTTTTAATATATCTCGTATAATGATTCCAGTATTCTCTTCACTAGGAATACCGCGAAATATTGATTTTAGTTCCCATGTTTCTTTGGACCAAACCCGTTTCAGACAATTTGGAATCGATTTGCCAATGTCCGCCCTGTCTGGCTGGTGCGCACGATATCTCTCGAAGGGATTAACCGATTTCATCTAAACTTTGCACATCGTAATATTTTTCAAACAAAGTTTATGTTCAAAGGTGGGACATATCGGTCCGTTCCTTCTGATAAGTTCTTCACAAAATGGACAATATTTAGCTAAATTTTAAATTGTAAAATATTATGCGAACGGACTATCCGATTTGAAACCAACTTTGCACAATCTATTATCTTCACCAAATCCGAAAATGGACCCATTGGTCCACTCCTTCTAGTACCTCCCTCACAAATGGCCAAACTGTTTATAAATCCAATATTAGGCTAATGTAATGTCAGCTTTGATCCAAACTCAAGTAAATTCGAAAATAGGCTGAAAATGTATTTTATATCATACGAACAGTGGATCCGATTGAAACCAAAACTTTGCACATCATAATATTTTAATTATGCCTGTATATTGTCGACTAGGTAATATTTTTACCTTGCCTTAATTTTATAATATTATGCGAACGTACTATCCGATTTGAGCTAAATGTTGCACAACCTAATATTTTAACCATGCCTGTATAATGTAGGAAGATGGGACTTATCGGTCTACACCTTCTAGTACTTTCCCCAAAAAGTGACACAATTTTTTAAAACTTGTAAACCGGAATATCCAATTTCACAAGGGAATATTTTTACATACCGCCTACGGGAGCAGAGCTGATTGCTAACGGACGCGTCCACAGCTTACGGATAGTGGGAAGCCCAATATTATTTTTTGGGTAGATGTGAATATAAAATAAATAGTCGCGGACAATCAACGGGTCCTGGGGAAGAGTCTCGGAGAAAATGACCGAGTGCCTCTGATCAAGGCGACCTTGTGCCCACAACTGAGCCTTGTTAATAACTGGGCGCCTCAACATGTTTTTCAGGCTTAGTTGCCGAGTCCTCAAATCCTCGCAAAATAAATTTTCTGTGGAGTCGAATATTAATACACCCCCACCCCCTTCTTCTAAAAATAAATAGTGTTGCGGCCTTGGCAGCCTCAGTCTCGAACTATACATGGCCAGAACTCATTCAACCCCCACGAATGATGACGATCCACGCTATTCTATCGGACCATTCTTTTGCCTGAAATCCTGCTACACTCGATGACGTAAACGAAAATCTGGTGAGGCATAAGGACCTCCTGCTCAATCTTATAGAGGAAACCAGCTCCTTCCGCATTAGTCGGGAGAGCATCCTGAATCAACTCTGGGACGACTCACACGGGACAGAGACTCGATTACGGATATGGAGTTCTTTCTAATTAAGAGGAACCTTAAATTCATGCGGAAGTTCTGCAGGGACTATCCGAACGATATTGCGAGGGACTTCTTAAATAATAGAATTCCAACATCAGCACCATCCAAGGGACAAATGAGCGCTAAGAAATCGCTGACATCACTGCAACTGAGGGTAAGGGTCTGTCGAAGTCAGGATAAACCAGAGGTGGTGAACACGAAGCAGGTACTCGCGACACCTGAGTCAGCGTTGGCGTTATCCGGGTTGGCGTTATCCGGGTTAATACAGTTAGTTGATTATTAAAAAATATTTATGTTTTAAAATTAAAGATTCGATATGGAAAAAAATTGTAAATATATTGTTTTAGAACTTAATTTCTTTGTTACTGCTAAGGATAGCACATGTTAACGTAGTTACTTTTGTTGCAAATTTGCAGCCACCTTAAATTAGAACACCCATCCATCGTAATTTATGACGGCTAACATATTAATACTTTGTCCTGATTTACATTAGATAATTTCAATTGCATAATTATTTAGTTTGCTGAGAGATTTGAGATCTATCCTTCCCATCTAACATACCAATTAAAATTGTCGCTATTAAATTTGTCAAATGTAAATCAGAAATGAGATTTTGACACTTTATAGTATAGGATTAAAAACTAATTCTGTAAAGTATTTTCCAACATAAAAAACATTTAACATTAATATTATTTAATAAAAATTTCATACGAAAACTGTTAAGCATTTTATTCAGAGCTTTCATGCTATTTAATAATAAATTACTAATACTATTGCATACTTTTAGACACACCAATTTAATTTTGAACCCATTTGTTGTATATATTTACAGTTCGGTGACTTCATGAACATTAACACCGTTCACTGCTGTTAATCCATTCGATTGATCGTCCAACAATTTCTCAATACAATTCAACGAATAACATAATACAAATTGAGATTTTAAAGTTTTGAACACTTTCAAGAGACGTGGACGTAAATTGAAAAATATTAATTTTTGATTTCTTCTATTGAAATCTTGTATTATTAATTCTATGGCCTTGGCAGTGGTGAAATCGGCAGCATATATAAACGTGCAATCGAATACTACAGGAATGGTGTATTTTTGTCCCGATTTTACAATTTTGTTGCGGACAAATTCGACTGAGGGAAATATAAGGCAACGATCGGGTGTGATTTTTAAAAACTGCTTGCCCGTGGAGGTCTGTAAGGTAAAAGGAAGAGAGGAGGAGAGTGTGAGAGAGGTAATGAAAGTAAAATTTGTAAGTACTTTACCTTAACCAAATCTACATTTATTTCAGGTCTGGCCGATTGATATAGAATGTACAAAATATTGATGGTAATTGCCACAAATACACCAACACTTAAAGGACCCACCAGACATGCCGTAAATGCCAGTAAACCAATGAAGAGATCGGATTCTGAAATAAGTCATCAAAAATAAATTACATTATATGGATCGGAATCTATAAGAGGTGAGTTACTTACTTTTACTATGCCACATTGGTTTTATAGTTTGATATTGTAATTGAAATAGTACAGCTGCTATAATTATGGCAGCCAATGTTGCCTTTGGTATATAATAGAAATATTCGGCCAAGTATAATAAGGCCAATATTACTATAACGCTTACATAGACATTAACAAATTGCGTTCTGCCACCACTGGCGGTATTCACTGAACCTCGAGCCAAGCCTCCGTTGATACGATATCCACGAACAAAGGAATTTGTAATATTCGCCAAGCCCAAGGTAATTAATTCCTGATTGGTATCCACGGGTTTTCCATTAGCTAAAATCCAAAAATATTAAAATTATATATAACCTTAAAAATGGTCTTGCTTACCAAATGTTCGACAAACAGCAATAGTTTCCAGTAGGGATATCAGTGGTATCACTAGCAAACCACTTCCAAATTCTTGTAATAACATCCAAAAACTTTCGGTATTGTTCTCCAACTCTGCCTCACTGACATAGCTTCCATTACCATTGACAACAGACAAAGCTGGAAATTCTACTGGAGGAAATCCTGATGGAATATAACCCGTCAATTGGACATAACTTTTCCCCATATGTTCCATATAACCCACAATTGTGGCGGTGACAAACACCAATAGAGCATTTCTTGAAACACCCAAAAACCAAAATATCGTATTAAAAACTTTTTGTGTTCTTGAAAGTTCTTCGCCTTCTTTCGCCTTCAATTTAATATTTCCAATATATCTCAAAATAATCAGTACAATAATACTTCCAACACCCAATATTGTATCACTTGTACGGAAATTATGTATATCTTTTATCATTGATATCCAATTTTGTAGAAATGAATTTCCCGTGGATTTGACTACGAGAATATTTTTGATTTGTGATGTAAAGATGATTAGGGCGACAGCACTGGTAAAGCCGGCATTCACGGGACCAGAAACAAAATCAATAATAAAACCCAAACGTGTCAAACCCATAATGAGTTCTATTAATCCTGAGAGTAGGGTAAACAGCACCGACTTTTGCCAATTGCCATGACATACCTGCAGTGTCAGCAGCGATGCAATGGCTGTAGATCCAACAATATTGTCTTTACATGATCCAAATATCGTATAGATGATGTTACCCATAAACGAACTGTAAAGAGCAAACTAAATTTTATATAATAAATTTTGCAATAATTATTATGTTAATTAATATTAATATGAAAAACAGTTTATTTGTAAAGATTAGGCAATGACGTCATATACATTGGCGAATATTATTTATTTTAATCAATAATTGATATACATTGATAGATTAACGAGCAATGTCCTTCAAATATGCAATAGAAACATAAGAGTTACGTTGATATTTTGGTTTTTCATTGTGTGTAAATTTTCGTAACGAAAATTATAAATAACGGTCGATTTGCCATGTAATTGTGTTTTCACATAACATTTGATAAACTCTTAACGATTCTATAAAAAAACTCACCCACAAAATCATTTGAAATTTTGTATACCCTTCACCACATTGTAGTACATGGTATTATGTCTTTGTGCATATTTTTGTAACAAGCCAAAAGGAATCGGTTTAGATTTAGATATAGCTCCCGTATATATTTTTCTCTGCTTTTAAGTAAATATTGCACCAAAGAGCATATATTTGTTCGATTTACCCGAATTTTGGCAAAGTGCTTTGAATTCAGTATATAATGACATTTGTTAAGTTTCCATATATATTGGAAGCCGATGAGCTTATGTTTGTTCGATTTACACGAAAATTTACATAGAAAATTACATAGAGTCTAGAAAGATGTTTATTATGGTTTGTCGAAATCGGTTATAGAAATACGCTTTTCACGAAATTTTGAAAAGTGTATTAAGAAAATAAGTCCTAAACCTAGCCCTAATAAAAATCCCCTTTGTATGTATTTGATATATTGATAGAAGATTTTCAAAAGTCAATTTTTCTACATATCCACTAAACAAAGGCCACACTTCCCGAATAATCTCTTCAATGTCCAACTTATAGTCATGGATATAAACAGTTCGGCCCGGTAGAAGTTAACGACGTTTTTACACTTTTACCTTTCGGGTTGACATTTTGATTAAATGTCAGGATAAATAATAATTTCACGTCACACCATAGAAAAATATATTCCTAATTAATAATTCCTTATGGTTAAAACCGAATTATTGTTAAGGGGACCCCCCCATTCTCGGGGTCAAAATTTTTGTTGATATAATTCGAATCTACACTGATTAAAGAATGTCTCTACAAAATTTCAAGTGAAAATCTCAAGAACTCTTGAAGATATAGCCGATTTATTGTATCAGCATCAAGTGCCGGCTGAAGGGCTTCTCAAACTTTAAACGCGTTTTTCTCTAAACATTTTTTTGCGAATGGCGGGCACGATAACTCAAAAACTAATAATCCAATCGGTTCCAAATTTTGCAACGCTTCTCTGGGAGTGTATAGCTCTCGTATAAACTAGGATAAAGCCAATCGGTCACGTTATTTTTAACTTGATTTTTGGTAAAAAATCGGCGATTTTCCAAAAATATTTTTTCAAAGGTCCACCATTTTGTTAATTTTAGAGCGAAGTCAATAATCCTAGTTCATACGAGAGCCAGACATGTACATGTACACCGTTGGAATTTTCGGATTCCGATGTTCCAGTGAGGAGTTATCATGCCCGCCATCAAAAATAAGGACTTTTCTTTAATTACAAAAAACAACAACAAAACAATAACAACATTTTGTTTTTAATTATTTTTCTTCTCTTTTAAATCTTCAATTATATATGTGCAAAGTTACAAACCTTAACAAGCATTGGTATTGATTTACCAGCCCATTGAAAATGGGCTAAAAAATTTAAATCGAGAATGGGGAGGGCGGTGGTTCCCTTAAAACCCAAATTCGTCATAAGTTAAGGGGACTGTATAAGTTTGTTACGTTGGCCTACAACATCCTGAGCCCCGTCGATCACGGATGCTGATTGACAGGTCGGGTATTGCCTCTGCACGTTCCCTCTGCGGACACCGCAGATCGTTGGTTTGCTCCCCTTGCTTAACACTCTCTTACTGGAATATATGTGTGTAGTTATAGTTATACATAACGACGATCATTAAGATCCCAACTATCCACCTGCTTACTAACCGCGTTCACTTGCTTACTAACCGACATGTCGAGCTAACTTATTAATAAAAGAGTAGGGTAATTATCTGACTTACTGGCTGGCCAACTTAACGATCCATCGACGCCCAGAAGAAACGACTGAAGCTAGAATTTTCAAATTGGGTGAGGGTCACTCTTAGTCCGAAGGTGTCAGATAAGGCTCGGTTTTTGAAAAATCGTACTAGAACGGCATGAGTAGTACTAAATGGTACCATTTGTATTTGGCGAACCGGTAAAGCTAGAACTCTTAAATTTGAAATTCGGGTCACTGATGGAGTATGGAATAGATGTAGGAAAGGATTTTTTTTCGAACTATATGTATCCGAAAAGTACTAAAATTTACTTAATTTGGTACAATTTCGGGCATGTGAATGAATAGAACTAAAAACTTGATATAAGGAGAGGATTTTGGAAGTGTGTACTCATGTATACGAAAAGTACTAAATTTGGTACAATTTGAATTTAGAGGAACGGATGGAGTTGGAATCCTGAAATTTAAAATTAACATTACCGTCGAAGTATAGGATTGGGATATGTAGGTTGTTTTGGAAATGTGTACTTATTTGTACGATAAGTACTAAATTATGCTAAATTTGATACAATTTGAATTTTGGGTGAACCAATCGAGCTGGAATCCTGAAATTTGGAGTTGTGGGTGTTGGCCATCAAAAGTTATTAATTAAAGTACAGTCCGACTATATTGCTTTGCTAATTGGTTGTTCTTTGAAGAATATTTATTTTATGAACACGATAACTTTCTATTTTATCCACTTTTATAAATTAAATATCCGATTTTTTTTTTTTTTTTGAAATCTATTAGTTAAATTTTTGTATCATTATTTCACAGATGATCGTCGAGATGAATTTGAACACTTAGTTCTAATAACGAGAAATATTTTGAAAACTTAATTTGTTTATACATATAGAATGACACGTGATTTATTAAATTATCTTGCTTCTTGTTTATTTCCATGTGGGAGAATATGTTTTGTTTATGTTATTTGGCAATCCATCATTATTAAAAATTCAAATCATTGCTTAACAGTCTTATAATGAAAACAAATAACTAGTTTTTGCATGCTCATCTATCCACCTCATTATTAAGTATTTAAATAATTTTAACACATAACACACTCTTCTTTGTTTATTTGAATATTTATATATGTTAAAAACCCTTATAGGGAAAAAACAAACATTTTTTTCACTTATTACTATATTTTTTTGGGCTTCATCGAAAATTTACATAAATTCGTGAAGAAAGCTTGATCGATCGCTAATCCATCAATGATTTTTTTTTTGTTTGTTTTTTATTTGTTGTACCTCTGTTGGTAGACCTGCAATACCGGCAAAAGCCAACGCCAGGGGTATGGCAGCCAGTGAAACTGTTATACCAGCTATTAAGTCACCGATAAAGTCTGCTTTGTTATAAACCGGTAACCATTGAAATATCGGCATATGACGTTTCAAATTCTTTGCATTGAAAACTTTGTCTAGAAATATGCGACACTGATTAGAATTTGTTAGAAGTTCTCGTTGTGATTCATTGTAGGCGGAATTAGTGAAATCCGCCAGAGACTGGCGGCTGTGATGTACGGTTTGATGATCGGTCATCATGACATTATTGAAATCGATGGCATTATCTGCACGAACGCGTCCGTTATGCATGTTTAGTTTTTTTGTTTTGTAATTTAGTTTTAATAGCCAATAAATATTTAAAAACGACAAAAAAATGGAAAAATAAAAAATCGCACGAAAGTAAGAAACACTCCGCTACATGTCAACCCGACGAAATTCAAACTAAGACTGAGAATACAACAAAAGGTTGATAGTCTTTTTTTAAGTTTCGGATTATTCGAAGTGAAATTATTGGAAGTTAACCGGTTGTATCGCCAAACTGTCTATTTACTGTTGTGGAATATTTCGTGGAATGTGCAAATGGGAATATATTTTTGGTTTTTATTTTGACAATAAGTTGCGATATTTCATCTCAATGCATTATGAGTGAGTGATAGTTATATAGGTTTGATCCATATAAATTTAATTAGCTATTAGTAAAGGTGCGAATTATCTGCATAAGTTATTAATGTTATATCCGCTTTTGACCACACATTGGGAGAAATTTTGATTAGTTTTTTTAAGCTAAATTATTAAGTTAAATTATAAGATAAAACTTTAAAATTTGCACATACATTACTCCTCACAGGATGTTAGCTGTGGAGGTAAATCCTTTCAGTTTATGGTATGGCCCTCAAATTTTGCTCGTTTTGTAGCAAGTTTTCCTAACAAAATATAAATATTGGTCTAACTTTTAGGGCAGCCCCGTAATGTTGTAATTTGGATTGGATGTTGGATGAGTTTGGGCATGTCTTTAAACTGTAATTTATTATTTTGGATTCTAATTATGCAGCAAGTTCTTACTTGGCTGGCTTGTGACAGAACAATTATTCCATAAGCCGAGCTTAAAAAAGATTTCCAGACGCGTTGGTCTTGTTCGCAGTTCTTCCAATTTGAAAGACCATTTCCATCTAATTCGTGGCCTTTCCCTTCTACGTAAACCATCAGTTGGCTCGGTTTTATATGCCTTTTGTACTGGGGCATTGTCACCCATTCTCTCAACATGACCTATCCAACTTAGACCCTGCAGCTCGATATGTCTGATAATGCCGATGTCCGAGAATCATCTGCCTGCGCATGTATCCATATAAAAGCATGGGTAGTATCAGCGTCTTGCAGAGTGTGAGTTTGGTCTGGCGGGAGGTGGGCTTCTCTAAATTTTAAAATTGATGTCATTAATTTTATTTATTTATTGCGGTATCAAGGAATAAAAAAATCGTTGACTACCTCGAAGCTGTAGTTGTCATCTTCCACAATTGGTTCGAGTCCACTGGACGTCTTGTGCGTTCATACCATCCACTTTAGCAGACTCTCAATTCGTTAAAAGCTGGCTGTTACCGCTCGCAATGTTAGGAATGCCGAACGCAGACATGGCTTTAAACACCTCTGAACGCGGATGGGGCTGTGGAATGCGGCTTTATAGTCGACGAATAGTTGGTGAATTTTCAGGTCTGAAGCCGCATTGGTATGGTCCAATAATGTCATTGGCCATTGGCTTCAGTCGTTCACACAGCACACTGGATATCACTTTATATTCGATGGGAAGGAGACTTATTCCTCTATAGTTGGCACATATCGTCTTGTCTCCTTTTTTGTGCACGGAACACAGGATTCTGAGGTTCCAATCATTGGACATGCATTCCTCTAGCCAAATTGTACTAATATGCTGGTGCATGCTCCTGACCATTATCTGACCATCGGCATTGAATAGTTCGACTGGTAATCCATCGGCACTTGCTGCTTTATTGTTCTTCAGCCGATTAATTGCTACTCTGACCTTATCTTGGCTAGGTGGTATACAATATAACGTCATATATTATTGCTTCTGGAGTATTTTCTTCACCACCACTATTTGATACTAGAAGCTTTTCAAAATACTCATTCCAGATACTTAACACGGTACCTGTCACCAGGTTTCCATCTTCATCTCTACAGGAGGATGTGCCTGCACCAAAACCTTCGGTTTGGTGTTTTACTCGTTGGTAAAATTTCCGGACTTCGTTCTGACTCCTGTACATTTCTATTTACTCACGCTCACGTTTCTCGATTTGATTTCTCGTTGCTTGATGAGGAGAAATTCAGGTGGCCTTGTGTATATCGAGATTCTTGAATCTGGTGCTGCCAACTACGATGTTTTTTGCTGCCGCGAAGGTAATCAAACTCATGCTGTTGTCGGATGTTTCTTCGTGGAGGCTGAATTTTCCGACGGTGGGGCCAAAAATATTACCCCGTCTGATTTTTGCATTAAAATCGCCTAGCAGAATTTTAATGCCATGGCCAGGGCAGCGGTCATATGCAGTTTCTAGGCGCTCGTAAAAAATGCCTTTGGTCTGTTCATCTTTGTCTTCGGCCGGAGCATGGACGCAAATAAGAATGATGTATAAAAAAATCTTTTATATGGATTATAGCATTTCGCTCATCTACTGGAGTGAATTTGGAGACGAGATATTTTATTCTCCTATTAACCATAAATCCGCAGTCAAATTCATGTCTCGTTTCATGTCAGGTATGTATAATACAGTGCGCAATCATCTGATTTGCCCACGCCAGTCTCTTTCCATCACATTTCCTGTAAGGCAATAATATCGGCTTTGTACTTCTTGAATACATCCACCAAAGCAAAAACTGTGTCTGTTTTGTACAACGTGTGCATATTCCAAGTGCAGATTCGCAGATCGTGGTCCTTTATACGTTTTTGGGCGGTCGTCCACTTTAGGGGGTTTTGTTTTCTTTTTCTTTGATTTTTCATAGTAGGAGGGGTTTTTACTAGTGTGGGCAACTAACCCGACACCCCAAACCCATTTTTATAGTTCTTTTAAGGCTATCTAACATCAGCCAATTACTTCAATGGTCATAACTCTGTGTAAAATTTTTCATTATATATTTTTTTCATTTTGTTTTTATTTCTACAATTTTTGAACTATTACTACAACCTACAATTAAAAATTAACAATAATATTACAATATAAATTATTACAATTTTAAAAATAAGATAACACAATTATTTTTTTAATTTTACAAAACTTCTAAAATCTACTCTTATATTTAGTCAAGGTTATCGTACTCGTTGTGCTCTGATTGTCACCATTACTCATGTCGAACTTTAAAGATGGTGGGATATCACATTCACTTTTCACAGTTGGTGTTTCGGTTTGCTTCAGCTCGTCAAGTAAACTTTTGGCATTATAGCATAATACCAATTTACATTTAAGTCCTTCGAAAATGTGTACCACACTTGGTTTCAAATTGAAGAATATAAGCTTTTGACCACGTTTTTTGAAATCTTCGACCATCGAAGAAATCACCTTGGCTGCTGTATAATCGGCACCATAAATATATGTACAGTCTAAGACGACGGGCAGATGTGTTTTATTGCCCGATTTTAAAACCATATTGCGAACAAATTCCACTGAGGGGAAAATTAAGCAGCGATCGGGTGTTAATTTCAGGAATTTATAACCTTCCATTGTCTGAAAAGAAAGGGAAGAAAGGATATTATTTAGAAAATGTTTAAAAATATATATTTCAACATTTACTTCTATGGTCTCAAGTGATACTTTGGGTCTGGCCGAGTGATACAAAATAAATAGCATATTTACACCAATAGCAATCAAAATACCAATTTCCAAGGGTAAAACCAAACATGTAATAAAGGCCACCACACCGGGTATTAAATCAGAACCTGCAAAATCAAAACAGATTTAATCAAATTGACCTAAATTTTAAAAATATTATATAGAGATTTGCAGCAGATGGTTTGTGGGGTTATCACATTTATCTTTATGTAGTAGCTACTGTTTCCCCAAAAGATAATTTTGAATGACAAAAACAATTTGTCTTATCTACATAGTATGTATGCCCCCACGGAAGTGCTTATTCTATTTTAGTAGCCATATACTTACGTTTACTGCGCCACATTGGTTTTATAACATGATACTGCAATTGAAATATAACCGCCGATATAATAATAGCGCCCAACACCGTCAACGGAATAAAATAGAAATATTTCGTTAAATAGACCAGTGCAAACATCACAACGAGACCAATATATAAATTTGCCATTGGCGTTCGAACACCACTGGCATTGTTGACAGCCGAACGTGCAAGACCACCATTACCACGATATCCTTGGAAAAATGAATTGGCCACATTGGCAACACCAATGGCGAATAGTTCCTGGGTGGCATCAATAGGTTTGCCTTTGGCTGAAAAAAATAAATATATATTATTATTTTAAAATAACATAATTAATTTTTTTAGATATACATCTATAAAGATATTTACTTTTTCTGGAATTTATCATAAGGACCAAAGAATACATAAGATTTTTGATAAAAAAAGAGTGTCAGTCGGTGATGCCGACAGATATATACCCTCCGCCTATGTTTTGCGGGGGTCACTGAATAAAGCACAGGGTTTATAATTCGCATATATATGTATGTTTTTTTTTAACGAATAGTTAACCATCTTTGAATAATTAAGAATAAGAATAATTTTGTCCTATAGATCCCATCTAAGGATTTAATGCGAGTTAGGAAAAGAATTACGATTTGCTAAGTTTGAATCGAATCTGACATTCCATCACCTTTATATTGGGTCACAGATCTATTTCAAATATTGCGATCATACGGGCATGACTAAATCGACATTAAATTTTATTCTGATCATGAATATAAATCCTTTATGGAATCTCCACCTTATAAATATTCGCATTTTCAGAAATATATAATAGACCTCGTAGTGTTGATAACGCCATGAAATTTTAATCCTAGACCAACCTTTTAGTATAACTAGACAAACTGAAAGATGAGAGAATTTCTATAATCCCTATAAAAGCGAAGTTCTTCTACATCAGTTTTATTTGCACCCATGGTCCGGCGGAAGACAACGATGGACAGGCCAAATACATTTTTTTACGAGCGCCTAGAAACAGCATATGGCCGCTGACCTTGACATTAAAACTCTGCTAGGAAGGGAATATATTTTTGGTCGACAAATTCAGCCTCCATCAAGGAAAATCGGACAACGACATGTGGTTGATTGACTTCGCGGCAGCAAAACCAGATTCAAGCAGCACCAGATTCAAGCAACTCGATATACACAAGGCTACCTAGATTTCTCCTGATCAAGCAACGAGAAATCAAATTGATCCATCCAGTGTTTTAGACGTTCGATCGATACGAGGAGCGAATATCGATTCGGACCATTAGGTGCGATCTAATGTAACACCGAAACTCGAAGCCTACTCCGCTCAACTTACCCACTAGCTTGACGAAATCTCTCATTGCCCCGATAATAATATAGAAACACAATAGAAAAAAGTGTCCACTTCCTACAAACTGCAGCAAAAGCAACAGTTGGGTAACAAAGGCCACATTCAAGAAACACATGTTTCGATCAGGAGTGCCGTAATGCTACTGATGCGAAAAACGGAGCATATAGGACAACCCTGCAAACATTAGCAACACGTAATGCGACGGAGATTTATCGGGAGAAAGGAGAGAGGAGAAACCTATTTAAAAAAAAAGACAGTACAAGAAAAACGCAGGCGCGAGCAAATCGGGATGTACAGGAGTCAGAATGAAGTCCGGAAATTTTACGAACGAGTACAACACCAAACCGAAGGCTTATGTCCAGGCACAACCTCTTGTAGAGATGAAGATGGAAACCTGGTGACAGATACAGACAGCGTGTTGAGGATCATTTTGCAAAGCTTCTGATATAAAATAGTTACGGTGGAGAAGATACCCCAGAACCAATTAGTGTTGACGCTAAGACTTTAATCCACCTAGCCTAGATGAGGTCAGAATATCAATTAGTCGGCTGAAGAGGCAGGTGTTGATGGATTACCAGCCGAACTATTCAAGAGCGGTGATCGGATGCTGACCAGAAGCATGCACCAACTGAGTAGTACAATTTGGCTAGAGGAATACATACCCAATGATTGGAACTTCAGCATCCAGTGTCCCGTGCACAAAAAAGGAGACAAGATGATATGTGCCAAATATAGAGGAATAAGTCTACTTCCCATCGCATATGAAGTGCTATCAAGCGTGCTGTGTGAACGACTGAACCCAATGGCAGATTTTCACTCTACGCCAAATCCCACGCCACATTTGACCTATTCGTCGACTATAAAGCCGCATCGCGTTCGGCATTCCTGCAAAATAATACGGAAAGAACCTCTCGAGGATTCGGACAAGGTGACAGTCTATCGTGTGACCTTTTTAACATCCTGCTGGAAAAGGTCATACGAGATGCAAATATGTACAGAAATGACACTCTGTACACCAAACAATACAAGTTACTCGCCTACGCCGATGACATCGACATAATGGGTCGAACATTGCGGGCGGTAACAGACACGTTTGAACAAATTGAGAAGGAGTCTGCCAAAGTGGGTCTAGCAGTAAATGACGAGAAGATCAAGCTGATGGTATCAACGCGCATGACGTCTAGTAGACTCAGACCAACTGTTTAACTTGAAAACTACATCTTCGAGGTAGTGAAAGATTTTATATACCACGGTACTGCCATAAACAAAACTAATAACATCAACTTTGAAATCCGGAGGAGAATAGTGTTGGTCAACAGATGCTACTATGGTCTGAGTAAGCAATTCAAAAACAAGGGCACCTCTCACCAGACCAAACTCACACTCTGCAAGACGCTGATACTACCCGTACCAATATATGGATCTTAAGCATGGGTACTTGCGCAATCATACTAGGCAGCTTTTGTGGTGTTCGAGAGAAAAATTATCCGAAAGATCTATGGGCCGATCTGTATTGACGGTGAATATCGACGTCGAATGAACCATGAGTTGTACCATCTATTCTCAGGCATAGTCAGGCATCTCGATACGCCAAGCCTACGTTGTCTTGGTTATGTTGTGAGAATGGATGAGGATGCCCAGTCAGATTTACTGTTGTGCGACTAAAGTCACAACTTGCAACCTTTTTGATGTTGTGTGACACTGCAACTTTTTAAGGTTTGTGCGACTTTTTGTGCACTGGCCAAAGTGCAAAAGTCATATTAAAGCGAGCCAACTGATGGTTCACGCAGAAGGAAAAGGCCGCGAATTCGATGGCTGTGCACAATATCGACGCGCATGGAAATCAACTTTGATGATGCTCAGTCAATATTTAGTGGATCAAGCAAGCTTAGACTTTAGTGTAAAATATGACAAAATTATTGTTCTTTGGGATTTATTTTTACTCGGTAAGACATAATATCTGTTCCAGAAATTGAACAAATTTTAATCTTTTCGAAAGACCAATAATTCGGGGGTACAAATAGTATTCTGTTGTATTGATTGATATTTTATAAACGTATACATTTTATTTTACTTACCAAATGCCTTGCACACCGATATATTCTCCAGCATAGCGATCATGGGTACAATAATCAAACCATATCCCAAATTGCTGATCATTGTGAAGAAACTCTCTCCCTCAATGGGTGGAATACCCAATGTTTCATTACCCGGCATAGCTTCAATTGAAAATGGTGGTATCGCTGGTATGGGTAACCCCTCTGGTACATGTCCAGTTAAACGGAAATAATGTTTACCCTGTGATTCCAAATACATGCTGACGGCGGCACAGGTGATAACCAATGTTGCATTACGCATAACACCCATAAACCAAAACATGCGATTCAATAATCCCTGATACCATTTAAGTTCTCCCGATTCTTTTGGTCCCAGTTTTATGCGACCCACTGCACGTAGACTAATCAAAATGATGACACAGCAGCAACCCAAAATGGCATCGTTAACACGAATATTGTGAATATCGTTGATCATACTAATCCATCGCTGCAGGAATGATGCTCCTTCACTTTTAACACCAAGTATATTTTTAACTTGTGACGTTGAGACAATTAGGGCAACAGCACTGGTGAATCCTGCACTCACTGGACCAGAAACAAAATCCACCAAGAATCCCAATCGAAAGATTGACATACATATTTCCATTAGACCAGTTATGAAAGTGAGTAGAACTGCCCGTTGCCACACCCCCTTGGCTACTTGATATGTCAGTAGTGATGCAATAGCTGTTGATCCGACTGTACTATCTTTACACGTACCCAAAATGACGTAGACAAAACAACCCATAAACGAACCGTAGAGACCAAACTGAAAATAAGGAAAAAATAAATTTAGTTATTTAAACCTTTCTAAAGATTTTTACTACTCATAGAATGTTTGGTAAAAAATAAGATTTGTTGTTCCATCTTATTTTAAAAATCCTTCATTTCATATTTTAAAGTTTTTAGATACATTTTTAATCGTTGTTAAGTTTTAGCGGGCTGAACTTTCTATACCCTCCACAATAAGATGGACCTTGATCTTAACTTATATCGGTCGGGACGCTTATATGGAAGCTATGTCATTGAACAATGACAGCCAACAGGTTTTTGTTTGTCCTAAAAAACGAGGTACCAGCAAAGTCCATACATTTAGATTTATGGTGGGAAATGGATCGGACCATTATGAGGTAGGAGCTTTATGCGGGGTAGATGCTAAAACATATACCAGTATTTAAAGCTTTCTCAGAGAAGTTGTTTATTCCCCAACAACATGGAATACCAAATTACAAACACATCACTTGAAATATACGACTCGGGCTATTCATAAGCCTTCGTATATTTTATATGAGTGCTATGTCAAAACATGAACCTTTTAAAAAATGTGAATTAGGTTTTACCTTTCAGGAGCCTTGGAAATGTTGCTAAAACAGAAAAATATCGAAAATTGAATGTACCCTTTATTGGAGGCTATAACACAGTATGGACCGATATTGAAAATTGCCTGTAAATAAGTTTCTCACTCACCAAGAACCTTAAACGTCAAATGACAGTCACTTCGGTTGGAAATGCGTTTAGAATCATCGATACACATAAAATTGATCTGGACCTGTTGATATGATAATGGGCCTAACATCTTAAAAATACCGAAAATGAGTCGGGAACATTTATATGGGAGCCATGTCAGACTATAGATATCTATTAGTTTTATATGAACTATAGGACTTCATTTATGATTTGTTGCCATTTTAAAGGTAACTTCATAATGCTTCCCTCATAGAAGTCCTTCTCTCTATTTGCAAAAAACCCTAGTAGTCGATTTTCACTCCCTAGATACCAATTTGTTTAAACTTCACCACCTAGCTCCCGAAGTTTCTGGAGAGTCACTGTAGATGTGTGTGCCCTAGCGTTGTCCTGGTGGAACACGACACATCTCCTGTTGGCCAATTCTGGCCGTTTCTGGTAAATTGCTATCTTCAAACGGTCCAGTTGTTGACAGTAGAGATCAGAATTTAGCGTTTGACCATATGCACCAAATCCATATCAGAACCTTCCTGGCCCTTTAGTCGTGGTTTTACTACCGTTTGAGGTTCGAAAACTATCGTGGCCAAAAGGGCGGTGACCGAGCGTTTTCACACAGGGTTATCGTATATGATCCATTTTTCATCTCCAGTCACCATCCGTTTAAGAAATGGGTCTATCTGAATCCTTTTGGCCAAGGCTTCGCAGAAATATTGGTCCTAGACCCTCCGTAGTATACCGATCGTCATATCTCGACTACCTAAGTCGATCTAGAAATGAGTGTCCGCCCGACTGGCAATTATAATCAAATCCTCACGAAATTTTGATTGTAGGTTCGGGTAGGGCAATTAAGACCCCTATTGGATTTGGTAATGACTCGTTAATGGACCAAAAAAATATTTTTTCTGTTTTTTGGTTGCTCTAGAGGCCACAATCATTACCCGAACACCACGAAACTTTAATTCAAAAAGCGGATCCGACCAAAGATCCGGGCGCCCCCCCCTGCGTACGTCCCTGAATCTCAGAATATAGAACTATAGAAAGTAATATTTTCGTAGAAGTTGTGTGTTGGTGGCGAATGCTTTAAAACTTCCCAACCAAGCTCCCGAAGTTGTTCTAGTGGAACACAACACCTTTCCTGTTGGCCAATTCTTGCCGTTACTGGTCAATTGTAAAATGGTAAATGGTTTAAAAGAGTTTTTTTTCGATTTTTAGCTCCTGGGCGTGTTATGACTGCTAACATGCCGGTCAACTTCAATAATTTCTCCGATTTTATCGTCATTTTCGACGGCCGGCCTATCTGTGCGAGGTGCATCTTTAACATCAAAAATTCCTGAACGGAATTTACGGAAACAAAATTGCACATAATTGCCTGCTACATTATTGAATCCATAAACACCATTCACAATTTTAGCCCCTTGGCTTGAATTTTCGTCTTAAAAAAACTGTAAAATGAACCGAATTGTCTCTTTGTTCACTTCCATTTTTAACACCCTGTAACTCACAACTGAATACACAAACAAAAAAACAGAAACATAATTTGTTTACTGCGAAATGTCACCCTTCCAACGTGAATAAATCTGAAATTGTTTGATTGATACTTTATGAGAAACTAGCCGAACCCGTGGCGCTTCGCAGCCCCTGCTAAAGTGATTGAAGTAGGATAGTTCACGTAGAAAACTTTGTTATTTAGTTTAAAAGCTACTATTTGATGGTATTTGACCCTTCTTCCAAACTTACTGCAACATGGGTTTGAAAAGGTAGGTATTATAGTAGACCCATCTGTATCTGTATTCTCAGCTGTTTCCCATATGGTTGGCATGCCTCTCTCTGAATAATATAGCATAGATCCCTGCTGTTAATCCTAGTTAAGTTTGAATTTTGTATCTTTGTCTTATTGACTAAAATGGCTTTTAAAAGAATGCATTACCGAACCTAAATGGATTATTGGTCTTAGCTGTAGATGTATTAGTATTTTTAAGAAACCTAGATCAAAAAATTAGTTTTCATCTATACATTCGAAATAATAGTTTTAGCCATATCCATTTGGTCAGCAAAACTTAATTTCTAGAAATGGACACATTTTGTTTCCATGTCATCTAGGAATCATGTCATCTTTAAATCCACAATCCGCATTTCGATTTATAGATTTATCTCGTATATAGCTGATGCATACTTTTATTGAATTCATAGTCATTTTCTCCAATAATGGTAGAATTATTGAAATTCAAAAAAGTCTCAAAATTTAAATGTTTTTTTTTTCACAAACTGACAAAATGTAAAAATTATAATGTCAATTATTTTTTCATTTTACACAATTTTTGTTCCAATATGTGATGATAATAGAAAGATGAAAAACAGCATACGTTAGTGGAATTATTAAACTGATGGTTATTATCATTACTGATAATGTCATAATAGAACCAAAAATTATGAGTCGAAAGTTCTTGATTTGAAAATTTTTTATGGTAAATGGTTTAATTAAGAGTATAAAACACATTTTTATGAGCCGATTTTTTCAAGATATTCATATATGCATAGAAAATGAGGTATGGAAACTGTTGATGCTATCGAAATCCCGGAATTTTGGAAGTTTATCTTGCCTATGTTACTTCAATGCGATGGCATTTATGCGAAATTTTCTGTGCAGTCTATTCAAGGTATGTATGTAGATAGTTTTTTTAAGGCAAAGACAATCCAATTAATTGTAGAAATCAAAAATTTTAGAATTGTCCACAATTACATAAAGATATACAAAATTTCACAAAATATGGCAAAAAGCTACATTAAAGGTTGGATATAAAATGTGTGGAAACCATGTCTTTCAAAATATATTTTGCAACATTGGCTTGCGAATTTTTCTCAAAATTTTCTAAAAAAAACCTTTACTTCAAATGAATTGAAACTTCTTCAAATGTTCAGCCGTTTCTTCATAATTTTTAACACCCTGTAACTCACAACTGAATACAAAACAAAAAACAGAAACATAATTTGTTTAATTCACCTACCAACGTGAATAAATTGAAATTGTTTGATGCGTTAGTATACATTTTTGTTGCTCCATTTTTATATATATAGATCTACCAATACAGCCATCTGCCGAAAAAATAATGGATTTCTTTTTCCCCAACCTAATATATTTTTTGTTGTTCCTCGACAGGGTGTGATCTGTGAATAATTTTTAATTATTTTACCATCCACTATATAATCATTTATTTTTTCCGGGGTACAATTTTAAGACAGGAGTCACATTATATTCGAATATGTAAAATATCGGTTTATGTCTAGGACGTTACCGCCCGATATTAGACATTAAAAAAATATTACTTCTAGTTCTTCGTATGTAATATACAAATCCAATGTTTGTAATTTTGGCTACTCTTTCCAAAATAAATAATTTCATTTGATTTTCCACAAACATTTGCTATTGGTATTTTCCAAGTATTATGCGCAGTAGACAAATATTTTTGATATCACAATTCATTGGAAATTCTTTGTGGTTATTTTTTTATCTAAGTGCAGAATATATTCTAATTCTGCTTTTCTGGAACTAGAACTATTTATATTATATAAAATAAATTTTACATCAACCTTGTTTATCTTCTCACTGACACGTACTTGAAATACTTGTAACACTGAAGATGTTATTTTTATTATTTAGTTAATTTTTATGATGTCTAGATTTACACACTTCACTTCACTCCACTATCTAAATTTAAATATTTTTTTTTATCTAACAAGATCATGGGACTTGAAAGAAGGCATCAACACATTTGTGGGGTATTTACCTCCCACCAAATCTCAAGCTTTTTGCGTCACTGTAATAATTCACACGATAATTTACTACTAACCTGTGTGGGTAAGCCAGCAACGCTAGAATAGGCCAAACCCTGAGGTATTACAGTTAGACCAACCGTTATACCCGCGATCAAATCACCAATGGCATCTGCCACTGTATATTTCGGTAGCCATTGTAAGATCGGCAGACGTTTGTAAAGGATTTTCTTGCGAAATATTTTTCTCATACACGATTGTTCTTCTTCGGGATTTGTTAGTAATTGTTCCTGGCTGCGATATTGGGAAGTACGATGATCGGTAATTAGAACAAAATCCGTTGAACCGCGAAATTGTACATCATTTGGTGCTGTGGTTTCCGATTTTGTACGGAATTCCGGTTCCGTTTCTAACGAAGACATTTTACGAAAATGCAGTGGACACGCTCGATTTAAGGATTGTTTTAATTTGCAATATTTATTTATTTATTCTTTCGATTGGTATTGGACATTTGTTTAACCGTTTAATTTCGAAATCTGTCGCGTTATTGCACGTCCACACTTCGCCAACTTCACGCGATATCTGTTTGAATCGAATCTGCTGTTTATGACTTTTGCTGCAAACAAGATCTGATCTTCTCGTTGACAGACACACTTCTGTCGTATGCTGTTTACCAGACCCAGTCAGATACAATGCGACGGACGCGCGGTAGCAGCAGCGCGACACTATTCTTCGAGTGATAACTTCATTTTCGAATAGATAGATATGTAGATCTTTTGGATGGGGTGGCGGTGCAAAAAATAAGTGAACTTTGTTGACATGCTAACATTTTTGCGTATTTACTTAAGATAACTTTTTTTGTGTGTACATTCGGCGTACGTATGTAGACAGGTAGTATGTATGTAGATGCCCAGCACTTCAGATTGATATGTTATAAAATCATCATATATATATTTTGAATGTTTACAAATAAATCTATTCTGGCGCAGATGCCAAACATTGTTTGGTGTATTAATTATAGCCAGCCAGTTTACTGAGATTGTCAAATTGGGGTAAACTGAAATATTTCAATTATTTTGTTGTGTTCAAGACATGTGTTTGTCCGTTGTATTAGATATTTGGTTTCTATGACACTCCATTAGATCAGGTAATACTTGGGTACGTAGATTATAACACCAACAGTAGTTTTCCACAGTTTATGGAAAATTTTCAAAAATTTTCATGGAGGAAAATAAAATTTTTTTTGAGGAGTATTGTCTTGTTTCCACTAAATTTATTATTTCCAACTCATATCAATCCATGGGAATTTTCCTTAATTAGTTTAAAGCTACAGGATTTTCAATAAAATCAGTCATGAAAAACAATGCTTACAGAATCAAATCCTTTCCATAATATTTGTCATAAACAAACGGTAAATTGTCTCTCCTATGTCTCCAATAGCTTCACGAATTATATATTTCAGCTCTACAATCGATGTTGGGATGTTGGTGTAGACCTTTTGTTTCCCCAGTGGTTCCAAAGCAAAAGTGTTGCAACTTATTAAACATATAATCTTAGCGGTCAATTGTGATATCTGTAATTGTTTTAGTTATATTAGTTATCTCTCTATAACGTAATACATAATACATTCACCGTAACTTTCGATTCAGTCTCATTTTCGTAGTAGTAATGTCCAATGAACTTTTTAACCATTGCTTCTTATCAATAGATTTTGCCCAAGAGCCCAAGATATGACAATTTTACTTGTTGACATATATGTCGTGTTGGAAGTGGACCTAATCAGTCAAGATGAAATTTCGATTCCGGATAAATTTCATGATTTTATAGATCAATGGCACGAAGTTGTTGATGTTCGGCCGGCTTGAGTTATTGCGTTCAGTGAACTTTAAAATCGTTAAAACACAAGTTTTTTTTTATGCAAAAACCTTGGATTTTATTCAACAATATGGCTAGTGAGGGTATATACTTAGTTATAGTTCGAAAATGAGGAATATCAGTCCACTTCTTCCGGTACCTCCCCCACATATTGGTCAAAATGTTACTGAAAATTAATTTGCTATTGCCATGTGAACGGACTATCGGATATGAACCAAACTTTGCACAACCTATCATATTTACCAAGCCCAGATCTAGTCCGAAGATGAGATCCATTTATACAATTTGAACCAAAATTTACACAACCTATTGCTTTTACCAAACCTAGATCAAATCCGAAAATGGGATCCATTGGTACACTCCTTCTTGTACCTCCACACAAATGGTCCAAAATGTCCAATATTTATAAATCCAATATTAGGCAAATGGAATGTCCTTAGCCTATCAAACCTAGATCAAATCCGGATCTACCAAACCTAGATCAAGTCCGAAAATGGGACCCATCGATACACTCCTTCTTTGACCTTCAAATAAATCCAAAACTGTAATTTTATACAAGAAATTTCAGGAAAAAATTTGGGGTTATTCATCTATTTTACCCGAATTTCGCCGAAAAATTGACATATATAAAAATAATCACTTTTTGTGTATAAATATACACCTATCTTAAAATAAAACTATATTTTGAAATATATATTTTAAAATACGTCAAAATCGCGTAATTCTCAAAATCATTTGATGCGCATGCGGTTTTCAGGAAGTACTGAAGTTTATCTTCAAATCCAAGTATATTTTGCGAAATTTCATTTGACGGCCAAGATGTACTACATGTTGCATTGATATACCCAAAAACTCGTAAAACGCGAATAATTTCCGAAAACTCCATATGCCATTAATGCGCATCCGATTTGGGTGTGCACCATAAAAAAATACGTTGATCTATACCGATTTCAATGAAGTCCATTAAGAACCATGGATGACCCAGCTCACACTATTTTTGAGATAAATTGGGTACATCTTTCTTTCGGCTGATTTTCGAAAAAGATCAAAATCCGTATCAGGCCACGTATTGAGGCGGAAATGATCCGCAGATAATGCAATTAAATCCGCGATATTTTCAAAAACATTTTTTTGACAAATTTCGTGTTTTTGGAAGGCCAGTTCCCGCCGTTCTAGTAGATGGATTTTCACGAAGAAGATTTTATATCATCCGAAACGTAAAAACCTTACTGATTGGTACCCATATCATTCCGATGACAGATCTAAAAATTTGGCCCGAAAAATAGGTTTTTTAGAAATTTGAAATGTTCACCTTTGGATGAGTATTACTCTGAAGCTGTGCATACTACATACACAAAATATATATCAAATTACTCAGATTCGCGACTACAATAATCTTATAATCGATTTTTAGAAATTCCTGTTTGCGTATGAAAACTAGAAGTGAAATACAAAAAACACTCAAAATCAAGCTTCAAAATGTCAGCATCATTTAACGGTAGATGCAGTTAAAATTTTGAAAAATTATACATAAGGGGCGTAGTCCCCATTTTGTTGGCTTCTAGTTTTACTTTGACACAAAGACCGTGAAATGAGTGGCTTCATCACAAATCGATAGAGAACATAAAAAAGTGGTTCGCCTCATCCTGTTTTTATAATTTTTTGTACATTAAAGTAGATACAGCTTCCACCAAAATAAATTTTTGAGGTTAATATCATGAACAGTTTGCAACGACAGATCAATTACCCCAAAACTATTCACTTTTTATACCCTACACAACTATGTTGTCAGGGTATTACAGCAAGAGTTTGTAACACCGCGAAATATTGGTCCTAGACCCACCTTTAAGTATACCGACATATCTCGACTAGCTGAGTCGATCTATACATGTGTGTCCGTCCGTCTGTCCATTATAATTTGTAAACACGATACTGGCCAGAGTTATGGACCAATCATCAAGAAATTTTGCATGTAGGATGGGTTCGGCCCTATTGTTTATGGTAAAGATCGGTTAATATTTAGGGGATGAAATGAACCAAATACTGAATTTTTGTCGGTTTTTCTGGTCGCTCCAGAGGCCACAAATATTGCCCAAACATGCCCAAGAATAAGCATGCCTGTTTTGATAAAGATCGGTCAATATTTAGCGGGTCAAATGTACCCTGACTTTTGTGTGAAAAATGAAAAAATTGTATTGTATGGCGAAAATATTTACTCCTGAAGGACATAGAGCCGAGAAGTTGATAGTATATCCAAGAGGAGTGGTTGGCCCTTAAATTGGTACCAATTATATTGTCGTATGTACTCGGATGTGAGAGTTACACGTAAATATTTACAGGTGCTTACATATTCAGATATTATTAGTAAACCATTACCACACTAGAGGGCGGAAATATAGCGCTCATCGCTTTGAAATGTTCCATGAGGTTCCAGTTATGGCCAAGGACAACGCCTATAATTTTCGGTGATGATCAGATAATAATTTTGAAGAGAATATAGACTAGTAATTAGAAGGACTGTATTGAATATTAGTAATATTCGGAAAATATGTCAGTGTATATGTTATAGTTCCGTGGTAGTTGTGTAGGGTATCGTATGGTCGGCCCCGTCCTACTATACTGCTCCGCTCACTGGTTTTCATATACTTAAGTAATTCCCGAGTTATAAAGGGCGAACCTCCGCTTCAGCTATGTTAAAAAATGGCAATATTGCTCATATAACCTCATTAGTCATTAGGCTGACAGTATAAAAAATACATACAATAGCTAAAAATTAAGATATAACAGCCTATTGTCGACAGGAAAAAAACTGATGACACCATTATTTCCTTTTAGGGTTTTCGTATACACACCAAGCTCTTTCATCCCTCAACATTTACACATAATTAAAAAATTTCCAAAACCATGTACATATCCAAATCCTACATTCCTACTTTAATGTTAATTTAAAATTTCAGGATTCCAGCTCCAATTGTACCTCCAAATTAAATTTGTTTCATATAGAACTTTTCGTACACATCAAAAGCATCTCCCTTCTTCTCAACCTTAATTTGTATTCAAAATTTCAAGTTTTTTGCTCTATCCAGTCGTAGCATATGTACGAAATTTAGTACATTTTAGTACTTTTCGGATACTTACATTTCGAATGTCCTAAATACCCTTTGATATATCTATTCTACACTCTATCAGTGGCCCTCATTTGTGACACGAGTTTAGTACTTCTGGACCGCTCTTGTACGAATTTCCAAAAACCCAGCCTTATCTGTCGCCTTTGGACCAAAAGTGACACTCACCCAAAATTTCAAGATTCTAGCTTCAGCCGTTTCGTCTGGGCGTAGATGAATTGTTAAGTCAGTCAGTCAATCACTTTGCTCTTTTATAAGTAAAGATAGATTTTTTCTTATGTCAGAAAAATAATTTTTGAAACGATTTGCTATTCATGGTTAGCCATAAAGGGGCACAATATAATTTCATTTGTTAAATGTTACAATACCCTCTAAAATACTTCAAGATTTTGAAATACGCCAATGTGAGTACAAATAATGAC